GTCCCGGATATTGTTTTTAGATTGTATTTGGTTAAGAAATATTGCTAAGTATTTTGTAATTTGTATTTGATATTCATCATAATATAGTTGTAATATTGTAATATAGTTGTAATATTGTAATATGGTTGTAATATTGTAATATAGTTGTAATATTCAAGGCAAATTTTTCCATCAATTACAAATTACAGTATTACATTATTAAAATAGTCGTTTATGATTGTTATACGTAAAAGTTTTCAATTTCAATAAAATATTTATATTTGTATGTTCAATGTATCCCCTCTATAAGATTTATCTACTTTCATAAAAATAAATATTGGAATTTAGAAACCATTTTCACCCTTTTTAAAATATAGTGGAACAATCAACTCACATGGAAGCGAAATGGAAATATCGAAAATACATTTAGATTTTAGAAAATGTCGCAAAGAATGTATAATATCTAACACCATTCCTTTCGAGGAGAAACATGTTTTGTTGTGTATTCAAGTTTTGAACTGAGAACCATTAGTGTAGACCCAAAATCCTCTTTTTTGTAAGATTTGGAACATTTTCTGTTAGGAGATATGAAATCTTATTCTCTCTATAGGTTCAAGCCTCACTATGTATAGGTTGAAGAGCTATTTATATCGGTTTAAAAACTCTCTCCCTAAAAACTCTCTCTAAAGGTTCAGGAACTCTCTCCATTCAATTAACAAACCTCTCTATAGGTTCAAGAACTCTCTTCATAGGTTAAAGAACTCTAAGTATAGGTTCAAGAACTCTCTGATCAAGAACTTATCTAGGTTCAACAAATCCCTCTATTTGTTCAAGAACTCTCTTCATAGGTTGAAAACTCTTTTTAGGTTCCATAACTCTCTCTATAGGTTCAAAAACTCTCTCGACAGGCTCACTAACTCTATCAATATGTGTAAAAACCCTATAAAACGTTCAAGAACTCTTTCTAGGATCAATAACTCTCTCCATAAGGGTTCAAAATCTCTCTGTACATATTTGTTCAATAACTTTCTCTTTAAGTGAGATTTATAATTTACAAATCAAACGTTAAGTACAATGTTGGAACCATCCTTCAACTTTTCAAAAAGTTTGAACTCAGAACATAATAATATTACACCATGCATTCAAAACAAATCAGGCGAAAAATTGAAATCTGTTGTTGTCTAACCCTCGTAAATAAAGAATACTGCAGCTAGCAGAATACTCCTAGTAGACTACATCTAGNTACATCTAGTAGACTAGACCTAGTAAACTATACATCTAGTAGACTAAATCTAGAAGACTACATCTAGTAGACAACATCTAGTAGACTACATCTAGTAGATTACATTTAGTAGATTACATCTAGTAGACTATACATCTAGTAGACTACATATATAGACTACATTTAGTAGACTAAATCTAGTTAGTAGATTACATTTAACAGACTACATCCAGTAGACTACATCTAGTAGACTACATTTTGTAGAAATATTGGATTTTCCTGAATATATATTTCTCGATCAGTTTCCCAGGATATGTTGAAAAGAATGAAGATTTTAAGCTTGGCATGCATGCTTGCTGGAGATGAAGTATTAACATCCAACCAATGTTGAATAGACCATGAAATTGATTTCTATTTAAAGCAAAGAACTGCCCTTCTCAAACTATATATTTTAGGAATACGAAATAGAATAAAAATAGAACGGAACGCAGGTTGAATTCTGTGAGAAATCTGATTAGATAACAACGCATTATTTCAAAAATGTGAAGCTTCACGGAAAGCATAAATATGAATATTATGATTTAAAAGGAATTGACTCTTTACAATATACTTAATCTTTTTTCGATATCTTTAATATTATATATTCAGATTATTCGATTATAAAGACGTAATTCTTTTACTTTGAAAATATGTAAAAATCAATTCTTTAAAATCGGGCTTTGTTACTGATTATCGTTATTTATACTCTAAACATAAAAACCAACGCTTCTGCATTATTCTCAAAATCAAAATGCATTTTTAAATAAAACAATTTACTTTAAAAACGGATTCTCTTCTAAAACTAGAAAGCAGCACTGAAAAGGAATCCGCCATCAATATCGGAATCAACCATAAATATCGGAATCAAACAATATGGGAAGCAAGCATAAATAACGGAATCAGCTATAACTATCGGAATCAACCAAAAACATCGGAATCAAACATAAATATAGGAATCCAACATATATATTAAAATCGATGGCCGGAAAGAAATGTACTTTTGATAAATGTACTTTTAAAATCGGCATCTAAATTGATTTTTTTTACAATTTTTATACTCTTTCGATAACTAAAAAGTCTATTCAGAGCTGAAAACTTTAGAATGGTGGATATCAGGATTAAGGCTTAATCCACTCTTTTTCTTAATCTCCAGATTAAATATTGCTTGTTTTTCACATGACTTTAATCTTCAGATTAATTATCCGACAGGATATCTGGATATTTCATTCTAAAGTTTTCAGCTCAGGTGTTGACACAAAGACTGGTTTATAATATCCCTGAACTAAACCTGTATTTGAAATTTAAGCAAACATTTTCCAAACTAATTACGGTGTAAAATATGTGTATGCATAACTTGAAGTGCAACTAGATAGCAATACCTGATACAACGTAACCCTAGAAACCTTTGCCCAATCAAAATTCTGGAACATAACATCGTTTTTCGGACTTAGGAAGTGTTTCTTTCTCTGAATTTCTCAATCGTTTCTTATAAACAAGAAATGCGCTACAAGCCACTTTTGCAAAGAAAGGCAAATGAAAATCAAATAAACCAAAATGTGCCTATTAATTTATACTTAAGGTTAGACAAGGCTTTCAAGGGTACCGTTGTAAATCGGACATTTCCGTTCTTGTATGGAGGGTCACTTTAATTTTGGCTTCAAGTCCCTTTAAGGCCCAAAATCCCCACCAAAGGCTTCCTTAACTTGGTTCTAGCTGTATTTTAAAAAGATTCACTGATAAAAACGTACTTGAAATTGAAAGGAATAGGGTTTAATGAGATTATAAATACGAATGATCCCGATTTGAACCTCAGAAGACATTATGAGACAGATTGTTTACAGTAAACCACTAAATAGGCTATACATCCATACTGAGCCAAACAGCTGGTAGAAAGCTTGGAAAGTGTAAAACTGTTTTGAGGTTTTGAACACGGAATGAATCTTAGGAGCTCTTGTTTTGAAAATCTAAACCTGCGCTAAAATTACCCCTCAAAAGAACTTGCTGGGATAACATGGAAACCTGATCTTTTAAACTATTAAACCTGTACATTGTAAACTTGTAAACCTGTACGTTGTAGACTTGTAAACCTGTACGTTGTAGACTTGTAAACCTGTACGTTGTAGACTTGTAAA